GAGGGGCCTCTTTGCGGGTTTGAATTGTGAACCTTTAGATTAATAACCAAACATTTAACTATTTGCCACTGTTATGAAGAACTTTAGAAAAAAATCACTGAAAATGGTTAGAAGGAAGTATAATTTGAAGAATCTTATGCACTAACACTATTCTAAATTATATTAGATAAGGGGGTGGGTGAGCTAATCATGGAAGTAAGGAATGTAAAAAAAGTGGAGAACACAAAGCATATGACAGAGTGTTTGACATTATATATTTATTGATTGAAACAAGTAACTTGGACACCCTTGACACTCTGATCATTAATTCAAATTTACTGTAGACAATTCAAACATAAAACAAAAAACAAAAACAAAAACAAAACAAAAAAACCTTACTGTCATCGAGTCAGATCTGACTCATAGTGACCCCTCCTTGGGTTTCTGAGGTGGTATCAATACAGAAGTAGATTGCCCCATCTTCCTTCCAAGGAGTAGCTTGTGTGTTTGAACCTCCAGCCTTCTGGTCAGCTGTCAAATGCCTTAGGCACAGTTGTTGTTGTTGTTATGTGCCGTGGAGTCGCCCTGACTCATAGTGACCCCTCCTTAGGTTGTTGAGGCAGTATCACTATGGAAGTAGATTGCCCAACCTTCCTTCCCAGGAGTGGCTGGTGGGTTTGAACTGCCAGCCTTCTGGTTAGCAGTCAAGTGCCTTAGGCACTACTTTACCAGAGCTCCCAATGTAAACAATACACATGTTCATTATGATTATTGTACACAAAAAAAGAAAATTTATGCATTAGAAATTGGTCAATACAGTAAAGATTGAAAGTACACTAACTATTAATGTTCCAGGGGAAGAGAGTAATTAGTACAATTATTTTGCCTCAGCTAATACTTTGTAAGGAGCTCTGGTAGCATAATGGCTAAAGCACTTGACTGCTAACCAGAAGGCTGGTGGTTCAAACCCACCAGCCACTCCTTGGAAAGAAGGTTGGGCAATCCTACTTTTGTAGTGATACTGCCTCAGAAACCCAAGGAGGGGTCGCTATGAGTCGGGGCTGACTCGACGGCACATAACAACAACAACAACAACAACAATACTTTGTAATTGAAAGCAACTATAGACAGCATGTATCTCCTGGGCTATATAAATGGAATAAAGATGTTGTAAGACTAAATTTCTGCCTTTTTCTTAACATTTACTTTCTCAAATTTTCTCTTCATTTGCTGAGTTCAAGGAACCTAAATTCATACCTTATGTTGCAGGTACTGATGAGCATAAATACGTGTTTTCTATTCAGAAGACAGGAACATGAAGTTGATTTTTTCTCCCTGCTTTTCCTACAAGGAAAAAGATAAATACCAACATTATAGAAAATCAGAGAAAATTAAATCCAAGAACATATTTTTTAAATAAATCATGACCAGTTGGGGTTTACAGTAATATCAGGTTGATTTAATATTTTGATAGGGAAAAAAAAGTAGTAGAGAGAAAAACAAAATAATCATTTTCATTAATGTCAAAGCATTTGATGAAATTCAACAACCAATCATAATAAAACCTTTCAGGAAACTAGAAGCATAAGATTTTCCTAATCTAATAAAAATTGTCGACCTTAAAATAAACAAATGAACAAAAACAAATACAGCCAGCAACAACAACAAAAAGCCCTAAAGCTAATATCATACAACTTCTGGTAAAATAATGATGAATTCTGAACAAGATAAAGATGACTTTTATCAATTCTTGTGTTTAACAATCTTCACTGTCTACTGAAAATTCTAGCTAGTGGAATAAGGTAAGAAAAAGTTTAAAAACATAAAAATGGGAAAGGGTATAATAAGATATTTTTACTTGTAAATGTTATAATTGTGTGCATTAAAAAGTCCAATAGAATCTATGAAATATTAGATTACATAAATTCATTTATCAACATCATTGGATAAAATTTCTACTCAAAATCAATCATATTTCTATATACCTGAGCAGAAAAAAGGAATCAAAATTTGAAAAACAATTCCATTTATAACAGCATCCAAAACTTAAAATAGTAATAAATAGAATAAAATGAGATAAACCTCTGTATGGAAAATTACATACAATCTGTACTTATTGCCTTACCCAGAGCAACCTCCTTCCTAAAGATGTCACTATCCAATGGCAGGTAAGTGTGGGACTATAAAGGCCTTGTGTCTCCTTGTCCCAACAAGGGCCAATTATGAAAGGCAATCACAGCACGAGAATTTCTCATAAACCAAAACACAATTGCTGATGAATCAATTGCAACTCATGTGACTCTATGAGTTAGTTGTAAAGAAGAACTGTGTTCTGAAAAGTTTCTAAAACTGTGACTTTTCAGAAGCAGATGGCCAGGCTTTTTTTACGAGGCAACTCTGGGTGGGTTCCAACCATCAACCTTTCCATTAGCAGTAGAGTGCTTAACTGTTTGCAACACCCAGGATGACTAGAATTCCCAATATCAAACCCAAACCTACCGCCTTCCAGTCCACTCTGACTCATAGCAACTCTATAGGACACAGTAGAACTGCCCCATAGAATTTCCACTAGAGGCAGTTAAATAATTAAGAATTTATCATTTATCATTTCTCCTGTGCAAGTATGCTTTCTTTCCTTCTCTTGCATTAGTAATTAAGCCCAGGCACACTCCACAATAAACCTCCAGCAAGCTCATTGCCATCTAACTGCTTCTCAGGGAACCAAATCTTTGATAGTGGGTAGGAAGACTGACACAAGAAAATACTTGAATCACCTGCTTCCCAGCTGGCAATGAACACCCTGTTACTGGAAGCAGTGGGGACAATATTACCCAGGCACAAAATTATAGTATGATTGTGAAAAATTTCACAAGTGCCAAACCAGGATGGTGAAACAATGGAGAGTAATGTGCTATTGTTGGTTGATCTTGAGCCAATATTGATTCACGTGACAGAGTACAATTTTCCCATAGTGTTTCCTAGGGTATATTCATTAAGAAAGCAGATAGATCATCATGATTTTCTCCCGTGGAGCTGTTGGGTGGGTTCCCAGTGCCAAACTTTCAGTTATCAGGCAAGCACATAATCATTGCACCACCAGGGTATTTGAGGATTGTAGGAGGGGAGGAGATAAAAACTATAAAGACAATGGAATTATTAGTTGTTTCTAAGCTCAATTAAGGGAGCTTTGGTGGCGTAGTGCCTAAGGCATTTGACTGTTAACCAGAATACTGGTGGTTCAAACCCACCAGCCACTCCTCAGAAGGAAGATTGGGCAATCCACTTCCATAGAGACACTGCCTCACAAACCCAAGGAGGGGTCGCTATGAGTTGGAAACAACTTGTCGGCAGTTAAGTTTGGTTTTGGTTTGGGTAAGCTCAATTAAAGGAAGACTGAAAAAACCAAAG